GAAAAATATCTCCTCGTCTTCGGGGGGGTAGTTCTTTGGATACCGGTATCAGAAAATTAATGGTGGGAGAGAAGAATGAACAAATGTCTTAAAAATTACACCTATTTGGCTTGCATTTGCATTCCTTTAGTACACTAGATTCAGTTGCTAATACTAGAAAAAAGTTTTAGAAAGTCTGTAGATAAGTGATAAATTCATATGTTATTCATCATACTCAGTGACAAAAATTAATTAAATAGCACTTTAAAACAAAAGCTTACTTTCTAGTGGACTGCTTTAGAGATACTCCTTTGTTCTTTAGTGAAGTTGTACAGATTCTGATATTTTTTTCCTGAGTATTCAGAGCAAACATTTCATATTTAATTTGCTTTAAAATAATAAAAAAATGTAGCTGTAGGTTTTGAATCTACCTGTAACTGGATTACAGTGATTTAACTGTACATTTTGTGACGTTTGCCTGTACTTTTCCAACAAATTATACATAATTTCATTTGGTGGAAGCTAATCAGATCTAATAATATATACAGAAATAAATCTCTGGGTCTACAGGGCCACCGAAATCTCCAGTGAATAGGTTTCATCTATTTATGTTTCATTAGGAGGTTTTATGGCTAAAATCAACATTTTTAAGTTGAAAATAGGTACAAAGTTTTTAATGACCAAATAGTGAGTTTTGAGATGGTTATTCAAATTTATATACTACTGAAAATCATTTGCTAGAATACAAATTGAGCCTTAGCAAGATATTTTTCTCAGACTTTTCTGTAATGATATATGACTAAAGTCCATTATATTAGTTATTCATGACCTAATTGCTATGAATTAGCATTTAGCTTTTAGAATGTGCATTCCTCCTTTTTAATTATGAAAATTACCTGGTAAATTTCATTCATTTATCTATTTATGCGATCATGTTTGGAGGAAGGTCCTTTTACATATAAATTAGAATCATAATACATGGCATATCCAATATGTGAAAGTTTGAAATGTGACTGGGCTACATTCAGTTTTTAGATAAATAGATAATATTTCTTACCATGCCTAATGGTATTTAAGTTATCAAGAAGTGCTATAAAGAAACGAAAACAAGTGCTTCATGGCATCAGGACACAAGTAGACACTGTACAATACTTCTTGAAACAAGAAGAGGCCACAAGAGTGAAACTGATTTCAATAGCCTGCCCCAAGCTACTTGTAGAAAGCACTACTGAAAGGAACTAATACATGGATACAGTGAAAAGAAGCAGAATTAAGAACATACAGGCTTTCCCTGAGTTAGCGGAATATATATATATATACACAGACACACACATATAGTTGACAATATATACCATGAAAACCATCTGGGGTTTTTTCCCTAGCAAAACCACTGTTCTTCAAAAAACAGGGGACTAGGCTGCAGATAGCTCAGTGAATGTTGAATGCACTTTCAAAAGTCTTACAGTAAGTTTTAAAAGTCTGAACTTCAGAAGAGGAAGCTTTTTTTTTTGTACATTTGACCCTCCATGTACTTGCAGAAGGGAGAATCATGAAATAGTGTGCTGTTAAGTTAGGAAAAAACAAGAATGTTTGCCCAGAACTGGCCTAAATAACCTCTCCCTTCATCCTTTCCCACATCTCAGCCTGCAGTACTTTCCTTCCAATGACTTTCTCCACTGAGGTGACTAAAAACATCTGTTTCTAAAGTATTCCCTGTCTTTGAACACTTAGATCTGCACTGTAGAACCTTACCAGTACTCGAACAGTGTTCTGTACACAGGAAAACATTGCAAAAACAAGTTCTAAGATGGCTTTCTATCGCTGACCTTTTCTCTTGCATGCACTGCTGTGAGAGTTCATGAAAAATAAATGTTGTAAGACTGTAACCAGTGTTCAGAGCTGTAATAGAGGTCCTTTAATAAAGCTAGTGTCTTTTTAGCAGATAATGGGATGAAGCAGCCATCACTTAGTGCTACTTCAACTGTTTTTATTTTTTTTAACAGAAACTCTTTGAGTTACTTGAATTTGTTCTCAGCTTCTTTTAATCAAGCCTCTGTATCTGAAGACCACCTATGTAAATTCTTAACATAAACCCAAAAGATTTAAAAGACTATGTTGGGGAAGAATGACTTATAACATGCTATCTCTTACAGTGCTCAACAGTGAATGCAGAATGAAAGCAAGTAAGAAACATGGCTTGTGTGATCTTTACCCAAATACACCAACAGTTGGTAATACAGGGTCTTTGGAGACAGAGGTCAAAAGGGTCTGGACCTTTTGATGGTTCCTTGTGTTTTCTAAGGATTTTACTGCTTTTTGAATCTATTCTTTTTTTGAATCTATGCTTCTACAGTATCCTATGCCAGTGAGTTCAACAATATTAATACATGCATTTTGTGAAGTACTTTCTTTTGTTCATTTTAAGCTTACTGCCTAGTAAGTTCATCAGATGTTCTCAATCAGTGGATTGAGAGCAGCCCTGAGGAGAAGGGCTCGGGGGTAGGAGTGGATGAAAAACTGAATATGACCCAGCAACATGCGCTGGCAACCCAGAAAGCCAACCGTATCCTGGGCTTCATCACAAGAAGCATGACCAGCAGGTCAAGGGGGGTGAGTCTCCCCCTCTACTCCCCTCTCGTGAGACCTCCCCTGCAGTACTGCCTTCAGCTCTGGGGTCCTCAGCACAAGAAGGACATGGAGCGAGTGCAGAGGAGGCGACAAAGATGATCAGAGGGCTGGAGCACCTCTCCTATGGCTGAGAAAGTTGGGGTTGTTCAGCCTGGAGAAGAGAAGGCTCTGGGGAGACCTTAGAGCAGCCTTCCAGTACCTAAAGGGGCCTACAAGAAAGCTGGGGAGGGACTTTTTACAAGGGCATGTAGCAACAGGACAAGGGGCAATGGGCTTAAACTGGAAGAGGAAAGATTTAGATTAGATTTAAGGAAGAAATTCTTCACAGTGAGGGTGGTGAGGCAGTGGCACAGGTTGCCCAGAGAAGCTGTGGATGCCCCATCCCTGGAAGTGTTCAAGACCAGGTTGGACGGGGCTTTGAGCAACCCGGTCTGGTGGAAGGTGTCCCTGCCCATGGCAGCGGGGTTGGAACCAGAAGATCTTTAAGTTCCCTTCCAACCCAAACCATTCTATGATTCTAGTATTCTATGTTCCCTATTCTTGTTACCTATTTTCATTTTCCTATTATTTTATAGACCCTGCTTACCCCCTCATACTCAGTCTTAGCTTTTTAATTTCCTCAGACAGAAGCCACACCGCACCTTGCTATTCTCAAAATGTTAGTAGGAAAGTACAGCAGAACAATAGTTCTATATCTACTATAATCTTTAGAGATCAGGTGCCTAGAACTCTATACAATGTCTTAAATATTCATGTACTAGGGATTTATATAGTGGCATTTTAGTTTTCAGTTCCTTTCTTAATACCATTGCAATACTCCACTTGCCTTGTTTTGACCACCACAAAACACTGACTTGACATTTACAGAGAATTTTTCATTTTACGTCCCTGGTTTTACAGTTCCACATAAATCAGCTTTTCTTAATTACATTCATATTCATTTCCTATGAAGGCACAAATACTCTGCTAATGTACTTTCTCTATTATACTTTCTTGGGAATCTGTGTCTGCAAGCACTCAATCATTTGCAAGAACAGGAGCTTTAATTCCTTCCTGGCTTAAATCAGTATATATCATGGATATATTTGGTTGGGGATGTTTAATGAAGAGGGGGAAGAAGGTAACTCACATTTTGCACCAGTAATATTCACTTCCTCCTAAACGGCAAACTGATTAGCACCACTGGCAGACAGGCAAGGCTCTGGGAAGATCTCTTGTTCTGTTATTGTGGGCTAAAGATTTCAATGTGATGTATAAACAATCTTACACAGCAGGCTCAGTTGTTCAAACCTGATAGAACAGCGAAAGCATATGCTAAACTTCAGGCATGAAGTCCCAACAGA